CTTTCTGAAGAGAGAAAAGTTTTAAGATCAACTGTGGAAGTACAATGACAGTAATGTTATGCAAAGTAAAGTAAAAGTAAATCTGTCCCACTATACACTATGTAGGTGGGATTCAAAGTAAATGCAGGGAAAACCAAGTACATGAAGCTCAATGCCAGCGTTGTAAACCGACTGCGAGTGAATGATACAGGCATAGAAGAGGTAGAGCAATTTGCTTACCTCAGCAGCATAATTACCAGAGACGGAGGAGCGGGAGAAGACGTCAAGGCTAGAATCCGCAAACCAAACGCAGCCTTTATCCAACTGTACCCTGTTTGGAAAGCTCGAGAGTTCTCATTATCGACGAAGCTACGGATCTTCAGGACAAATGTAAAAGCTGTGCTCCTTTACGGATGCAAAACTTGGAAAGTCACCGCTGAGATCACCAAGTGTCTCCAAGTATTCATCAACTGCTGCCTCCAAGGGATACATCGCGTGTTTTGGCCCAACATCATAACAAATAAAGACCTTTTGAAACAAACAAATGAGGAGCCAATAGCCACACAAATTAAGAGCAGAAAATGGAGATGGATTGGACATACCCTGCTGAAGGAAAAAAACGCTGTTGTAAAGCAAGCACTCTCCTGAAATCCCCAGTGACGGAGGAAGAGGAGAAGGCCAAAAACAACCTGGAGGAGAACCACTGAAGAGGAGGCAAATAAGGAAGGAAAGATCTGGAGGGAGCTGAAAGTTCTGGCTCATAATAGAACTCGTTGGCACTGCTTTTGTCGAGGCCCTATGCCCTGGCTAAGAGCGCCAGGACATCAATCAATACACTATGTAGGCACATGGGGGGAGAGAAGTATAGGTCCTACTCATTGTTGGCACTAGATGGAGGTGAGTGGTCAGCATCACGCCCCGGCCGCGCTTTCCCCCTGGGAAAGGACCCCAGTACCCCTTGTATAGGAGGCTGGGTGGGCCCCAGAGCTCGTCTGGATGCAGAGGCTAGAGGAAAAATCCTCTGCCCCCGTCAGGGATCGAATCCCAGTAGTCCAGTCCATACCCAGTCATTATACTGACTGAGATACGCTGGATCATTATGTTATGCAAATAGAAAAATAAATCTATTAATCCTGTCACAAGGCACATGACAAGCAGCCACACTACATTAACAATCAAACTGAAAGCATTTTTGTTGTCAAAAGAAGTGAGAATCTACATGGGCTGTTGTGGATATGAATTACTTTAATAATAAATGTTCTGCTGATTATGGATGTCTTTCAATTAAAGGGCCTCAGTATTTGTAATCTGCCTGTTGATAATGGCGGCAGCATCCTCGCTGTCCAGCATTGTCAAGTGGTTGCCATCCACAAAATATACCTCCACCTTTTTCTCACAACACTGCAACACAAGATCAAACATGTACACTTATGCAACCACTGGGCAGCTGACAGTGTGAACACTTCTCTCTGTGGACAAGAAAGCAAGAACATCGTTTAGTTTAACGCTTACTGCTACTGAAGAATATGACAGCTCATTGAATGTTTGATTTACACCTGTACATAATTCAGTGTCACAGCTCACATCTTGATACACTGAAAATTCCAGAGGGTGCAACTTGTTTAGAATAAAGCATGAGTGAATACTCACCTTAGAGAGTCCATAATCATCCGATGATTTCACTGCCATTGCAACAGGCCTCAGAAGGGTGGTTTCAGCCCTGACCTTTTTCGTGTAGTCCCACTCATAGTTTGAAATGGTTTTAAGTCGATCCAAGGCACACAAACTAGCAGCTTTGTAGTACTCTGCACTGTTTCTCAAAACAGGAAATTTACTGATGACATGATCTAACTTCTCGTCCAAGTTTTTCAGAGGTGTGATCTCCTGAACCAACTGTCAATATGTACAAGATGGACATTAAATAATTTTGGCATAGATTCTACAAAAATATTGAGGTGTATATTAGTCACAATTAAGACGCACATATTACTGGAAGACCATGTAAGTGAAATGGAAAATGAATTATGAGAAATCATGGTATTAGCGTTTTAACATTTGTCATTAAGTACCTTAGTGATGGCTGCTGATGTGGCATTACGTGGTGAAACAATTCTGAATATATTGCATATGGCATTGATCTGAAACTGATCATCATTCCTGCCAACAGTTTTTTCCACCAGCATCTTCATGAAATCTGGAGAACTGTCCAGTAGGTACAGCTTCCCCTCCCGCCCCTCTGCCTCAAGTTTAAGTGCCAGTTCCAGAGCCAG